GTGGGAGCTATTAGATGGCCTGGATACAAGTGAACTGTGGTTTGCTGATCCACTCTTCTCTGGATGGCCATTGGGTTGTTTTCGATTTTTGGTTATAACAGGACTGCTGTGAGTCTTTGTGCCACTACTCTTGTTTCTCTTGGGTAATCCTCATCACTCCAGTAACTGGAGCAGATAGGAGGTGGGAGGCATGTTAAGTTTTTAAGGTGTTGCCAGACTGTTTTCTGAAGTAGTTATACCAGATTCCATGTCCACCAGCAGTGTGGATTTCAGTTGTTCTATATGCTTATCTGGCTCATGAGTAATTGCTTTGGTGAGGGTTTGCTTTTTGTGGTTGTTGTTTGATTTAATTTTAATTATTCTCATGGGTGTATAGCAGTACTTCATTGTGGTTTGAATTTACACCTTTTTTGTATCCTGTTTGCCACCAGTAGATCTTTGATGAAATTTCTTTTGAAATCTTTTGTTTATTTTTATTAGATTGCTTGTTACTGAGTACACACACACGCACACACGCACACACGCACACACACACACACGCACACACACACACACACACACACACACACACACACATAAAAGTTCTTTGCAAATATTTTCCCCAATGCATGGGTTGTCTTATTGCAGGAGTGTGTTTCAAACAGTAAAGATTTTTATTTTTGAGAGTGAAGTTTAGTGTACAAGCTTTTAGTTTGAGAAATTGTATGTAAGCAGTGTTTGCCAACCCAGGGAAACAAACTTGCATCTGTGGTTTCTAACAAAAGGATTTTATAGTTTCAGGTTTTACAGTTTGGTTTGATCTGTTTTGCATTAATCTTAGATACTGTGGGAAGTATGGGTGAAGGTTTACTTTCTTTTGTATGTGTATCCCTTTTTGTTCTAACATCATTTGTTCAAAAGACCACCTTTTCATTGAATTTTCCTCATATTATATTAAAAATTCTTATTCTAAGGGTAGTTCTGTTTCTGGACTATTTTTCCCCCTTGATATATTTATCTTTAAGCTATACAAAGCTGTTGTATTACTATACCTTTATCCTAAGTCTCAATCAGTTAGTGATGGCCATACAATGCATTGTTTTTAAGCAGCTGTTTGCCTATGCTGAGAATTTCCCATTCCCATATAAATTTCAGAGACAGCTTCTACATAGAAAATATAAAAAAATTCTCTTAGGATTTTTTTATTGGGATTCTATTAGTTACATAAATCAATGTAAGGAGAATTGATGTCATAAGAATATTTAGTTTCAGAACTACAAGTCTAGTATTTATATCTTTTTTACTGTCCCTTATTTTGTATTTTTTAGTGTACAAGTCATGCGTATCTTTTGTCAAGTTTATTTTTTTTTAATTGTGAAAATACCATATAGAGAGGTTACAATTACATGGGCAAGATAATGAGTGCATTTCTTATCAAGCACTGTTGCTTCCTCCTTTGTTTCCCCTTCCCATCGCTTCCCATCCCCCCACCGCCCAAAGTTGTAAAGTTCGTTTTTCGACATAACAACTTGTACATCTCATTGTTGCAATAGGTCCACCTGTATCCCTAAATATTTAAACAATTTGTTTTTTCCCTTCCCCTCCACAAATCATACCAACATCAAATACAGTCATGCATATCTTTTGCCAAGTTTATCTTTAGGTGTCATGTGGTTGTTTTTTTTAATGCCATTTTAAATGGAAAGTGAAATTTAAAAAGATCATTTTTTGTTGCACATATGTGCAATACACAATCAATCTCCCTACTTTAATCTGGTTCTATAGTATTGCTACCGAATGGATTCATTTTTATACCTTTTATTGTGGCATCATCTAGTTTTTTTTTTTTTAAACCATAGGTAACTCATGTCCTCTGCAGATGAATACAGGATAATTTTTCTCTAAGTCCGAATGTTCTTGTTTGTTGCCTGATTGCACTGGCTGGAGCCTCTGTAGGGGGCCGATGGAGATGATATCTTTGCTTTGTTCTACTATTAGAGGAAAAAATGTTCAATGTTTCATTATTGAGTGTACTTTCTTGTAACATCCTTAATCAGATATTTAATTGGATTGAGGACATTTCCTTATGTTTCCAATTTACTAGGAAATTTTTTTTAAATCAGGAATTACTGTGCATTGTTTTTTCTTTGTTGAGATCATCATCATCATCATCATCATCATCAGTATTATTTTGGTTTGTTTCTTTTATTTTTCTTTCTCATTTTGGTTGGTACAGGAAGTTACCTTGACATTTGGATTTCTGAGATTAGTTCAACTTGGAAGTTATGAATTTTCCTCTTTGATATTATTGTACTCAACTTGCTAAAATATTTAGATTTTTGCATCTGTCCTTGAGTGAAATTGCTTTTAAAAAATTTTATTTTCTTTCCTGTAATGTCAGTGTTATATGATCAGGATAAAAACAACATTATAGAATAACTTCCACTTTGTTCTTTTTGAAAAATATATGAAGAATTATATTTTCTTAAATTTGTATTAGAATTCAATAATAAACATTCCTGGCATGGACTTACCTTTGTGGATAGTGTTTTTACTTTTGAAATATTTTACTTTTAATCTGTTAAGATGGCTGCATTTAAAATGAATTGTTCCTTTATCTTCATTTGAGACAAACTCTAGCTATGTGGTGCAGGCTGACCTTGAATTTAGTGATCCTTCTCCATCTGCCTCCTAAGTGCACGGTACTATCTCTGTAATGCTGTTAAATAGGAGAAAAAACTTGCCTACAAGCCCTCTAGATGATTTACTTGCTTTTATTTGCTAGGACTATAATGCAGGGCTTCAGCCTGAACCAGTCTTGGAGAAAGGGGAACAGTGGAAGTTGTGATCTGTTAATAGCATCACTTGACAACTTGATAGAAATTCAAATTCTTTGGCCCATACCCCAAAGCCATTAAATCAGAAACCTGGGAGTGGAGTATAATCTAGCAATTAGTATTTGAAGCACCAGAGATTGGCAGGAATTATGCTATTTAGACTAGAAAGTGGTACGCTGTCTGTGCACACCAGGAGACTGTTAGCATGTGTCATGAAGTGGGGCCCATTAATTAATATTCTCTTAATAGAGATAGACTACATACTAAGGAAAGAATGATATATTACAATCACTGTAAATTGTTTCAAAGAGGTATTTATTTATTTAATTTATGGAGTACTGGGGTTTGAACCCAGGGTTTCACTGTTGTTAGTCAGGTACTCTACCATTTGAGCCACACTCCCAGCAGTTTTTGCTTTTTGAATGTGATCTCACTTTTTCCCTTGGTTGGCCTGGAATTTAATACTCTTACATGTATACTTTCCGCATAACTGGGATGATATGCATGAGCCACTATTCTGCAATATACTTTAGAAATTCCCTCTGTAGCAAGAGTGTACAAACTATGTCCTGAGGGAAAATCAGGGCTGTTTCCTGCTTGTATGGCTGGAAAAAATGTTAAATATGAAAATGATGGTAACTTTGTTGTAATTTCATATGTTCTATAAATAAGATTTATAAGGACATAGCCAAGCATATGTAATAATTTTCATGTCATCCATGATGCTTTTGAGCTGGAACAGCAGAGTTGTGTTGCAACTAAGATTGTGTTCTGAAAACTAAAAGTATTTACTTGCTGGTCCCTTCATGAAAAAATGTGCCATCTCTGAGCTGTAAGAATTAAGGTACCAAAGAACAATGCATTCTCCTTTCTACTATGAGTGGATAGGTAAAAGTCCTATAGAATTATAGTAAAAGTGTACATAATGAAGTGTGTTAGTGTAAGAATATGTGTTCATTATATTTGTAGTAATCTTAAAGGTGTGTTACTGTAATAAAATTTATAATTAGAATATGCTTAAGAAAAGAAAGATCAGCTACTCAGGAGTCTGAGATCTGAGGATCGTGGTTCAAAGCTAGCCTGGGCAGGAATGTCTGTCAGACTCTTATCTCCAATAAACCACTCAGAAAACCAGAAGTGGTTCAGTGGCTCAAGTGGTAGAGCTCTTGCCAAGAGCAGAGGGACAGCGTTCAGGCCCAGAGTTCAAGCCCCATGACCAACAAAAACAAAAACAACAACGAAAAAGAAAGATCAATGACTAGATCCAGCAATTCCTGGGAAATAATCCCACCTCTATACCCTTTCTTTCACTTTCTCTCTTTTGTAAAAATTTTATTTTATTGTAAAGATGCTGTACAGAGGGGTTACAGTTACATGAGTAAGACAATGAGTATATTTCCTGTTGAGCATTGTTACCTCCTCCTTTGTTTTTCCTCTACCATTCCCTTCCCGCCCCACCTCCCCAACTCCTCCCTCCTCCCACTGAAGTTGTAAAGTTCGTTTTCAGTACAGTGTCTTATACATCTCATTATGAAATAACTGTTAAGTTAGCATTGTGTATCAGAGACAGAGAACTTCCATGTCTAGCTGCAGTGCCTCCTGGTGATTATTTTGAGTACTTCTCGTTTCTCTGACAAAGTAAAATGTTCTTAAAATGTATCTTTAAAGTTGGATCTTTGACTTTAATTTTTCAAAAGAAGCATCTACCCAAGTTAAGTGTAAATTAAAGATAGGAGAGATTTCATGTAAGGTTCTGAGCTTATTAGTATTTGGACAGATTTTCTTTAAATGCATGTAAGGCCATATCACATTTTTATTCATTAGCCCAAGTTTGTGTATACAGTTCTGTTGCAGAAAAGAGATGAAGGTGTTCATTTGTAGACACTAGATCATAAGATCCTCAGGAGGCCTAGCCAGTAAGAAAAGCTCCTGTTCCCTGACTCTGAAACATAGTTTAGGGGAAATGGTTAGACATGTTTTTGAAGTAGTTCTCAGCAGGCTTTGGAAAGTAGCATGTTCTATTTGGGGAATATTTGCCTGTTAAAAACAAGTTTTTGATACTTTGAAGTTTACAAATGCAAGTTCTTTTTCTATAGGAACTGTTAAATATATGTTGTTTCCCTCAGAAGACCACTATACTCTCTACCTATATTATACCTATAATGTAGATTTCCTTTTTTTAAGGTTGTATGTGGGCTCTTCAAAGACCTCATCAGAGAAATCCTTGAGTCCTTTGCAGTGGTGTAGACATGTCCTGGATAACCCGACTCCAGAGATGGAAGCAGCCCGGCGTTCCCTATGCTTCCGACTGGAGCAAGGTATTGTGAGCATTTACATTTACATTTACCAGCTCTTTGCCACTCTGACTTGGCTTTTGTTGTTTTTTGTTTGTTTGAGACAGACACTGAAATTGAAAAAAAAAAACAACCCCCTCCAGCAAACTAGGAAACTTATTCCGAGGCACAGGTGTTGCATGCAATTTTTTTTCGCATATCCTGCACACCAGTTTCTCAATATAGACTGTATCTACCTTTGTGCTTGTTTTAGTGTATATTGTAACATAGGAACACTTTTTTTTTTCTTTTCGAAAACATGCTGATAAATGAAAACTGTCAGTCTTCCATTTCCTGGAGTTACGAAACAGGTTGTGTGCTGTATCCTAAAGCAGAGAACTAGGATTCCATTGGAATCTGAATGCTAATCTTATCGGGCTCTTTCAGTGTTTAGTTAGTTGTGTAACTGGATGTTCCAACCTTCATAAACTAGGAAAGAATCTTTATAGTGTATATAACATTACTTAAGCTGTGGAGCCCAACAGAAATATAACTAATAGAAAAAAAAAAGAGGAGGAGGAGAAGGAGGAGGAGGCAGTTTTAAAAGTTATATTACTTAGGTTTTGGGTTTGTCTCTTAACCTTATGGCATCTGTTTCATTATCTAGGATCTTTTTCTGTTGCATAAAGCTCTTGTATCCAGGTGACCTTGCAAGTACAGAGTCCTCCTCCCTTCCAGAGTAAAGACTCAGGGTCTTTGAGAGTAGGGTATAGGGAATCTTCATCAACAAGTTCAACAGCGTGATTTATTTATTTTGGTTAGAGACCAGAACTTGAACTCAGTACCTGCTGCTTTAGCTTGTTGGCTAGCACTCTACCAACTGAGCCGTGCTTCCAATCCCAAAAGCATGATTCTTACGCACACTGAAGCTTGAGAATGCTGCTTCTGAAGCTTGGCCTGGAATGAGCCATCTCGGGCTGCAGTTTTACCACAGCTGCTTTCATTGAGTTCATATACTTTCAAAAATGATTTTGAAAAAGCAGAGGAAAAACTTTTGTTCATTTGTCCAGTTATGATCCTTTTTATTGGCCAGGGCCTCAAGGAAAGACTAATTCATAAAAGGAATTCTGAGATCTTGGGGACATTTCTTGGCATGTTAGAGGTTTTTTTGTCCTGTAAGTTATTTAAATATTATAATACAGAGTTTAGAATTATATATGTGTGTGTGTGTTAGAGGATTTTTGTGCTGTAAGTTATTTAAATATAAATATTACAATACAAAATTTAGAATTATATATATATATGTATATATATATATATATATATGTATGATTTGGTTGGGCACTGGTAGCTCACACTTGTTATCCTAGCTCGTAGGCTGAGAGATGGAAGATCACTATTTGAGGCTAGCATGGGTAGAAATGTTTGTTAGACAACCCCGCCCTCCCACCATCTCAAGGATGACCAATGAAAAGCAGATCTATATGTCTGGTTCAAGTGAGCAAATTCAGAACTCTGAGTTTACATCCCAGTACTGCAAGAAACAAAGAAAAACATTTTAAAAACTTAACATTATTCCTTAACCAAATTTGTGTGTACACACACACACACACACACACACACACACACACACACAGTACTGCAAGAAACAAAGAAAAACATTTTAAAAACTTAACATTATTCCTTAACCAAATTTGTGTACACACACACACACACACACACACACACACACACACACACACACACACACACACACACACACCCCTACCTTGCTTTTGCTGGAAGACTAAAAGATTTTGTTGTAAGGATCCGTAAATGATTTGGGCTGGGGATACAGTATACAGTGCTTCCTTGCCTAGCATGCCTGAGGCCCTGGCTTTGATGCCCAGCATAGTTGAGAAAAAGAGGCGTATGGATTGTTTACTGCATAAAATTCTATTTTAGTGCTTATACTTATGAAATGTCTATAGTTTTAAAAGTCTGAGCTTATGGGTATTAAGATAAAAATGAAAACATCAGATTCCTGATCCTATTTTATTTCTCAGGTAAATTAACAGAAGCCATTTGTTTTTATTTCTTCTTTCCACCTCCCCTCCGCCCTTGCTGGGAATTGAACCTAGGGCTTCAGTCATGCTCTGCCACTGTTCACTTGTTTATAAATTTCATTTCTTGTCTATTGGCTTCTATTCCCAATTTAAACATTGTCCATTAACATTTGGCTTCGATTTTGTAGGCTTAATCCTTTTAACACTTTGCTTGTATCTCGGCTCTGCATATCCTTCCATTGTGGCTTTATATAAATTTTAGGATGCATGAGTATCAACTATGTTAGAAACATTTATAAGGCTTGTGATATTTTATTGTATTTCTTTTGTCATTAACATTTTTGGTTTTTACTTTATTCTTAAAAGACATCCTGTTGCTTATTTTGCTTCTGGCTATTAGTTTATTACCAGACTTTTCAGATATCTCAGTTGAGTGAAACTCACAAGTCCAGGGATTGGTCCTGTTTTTGTTCCTCCTAGCCACAGCCTTTGCTGTCTTACTCTCTTTAGAATTGGTCCTTTGCATCTTCCTCACAACTGTCATGATGGAATCTCCTTTTGCTTTATCCAGGGAGTTCCTCTGGCTTCTCTTCAATGTTCCTCTGATTCCTTGATGCTAAGACTTGTGTTTCCTTATATTTCCTCCTTCATGGAACCATTCTTCAATTCCAATTTAGAGTGAGTAGGAAGTGAAGGAATGTATGTAGAAGGTGAGCTTTGAGAAGTTGTATGTTTAGAAATTTATCCTATCCTCCCTCTAACACTGGGTTGTTCTTCGGGCTAGGCCTAGAATTCTAGGTTAAAAACCATTTCCCACATTTTTTGTGGGTGGTGGTGGTGGTGGTAGAGGTGGTGGAGAGATGTTTCTTTACCTGTAAAGATACTTGCTAGAGTTTTTAGATTTTAACTGAAGAGTTTTAGAAGTAGTTTATTTAACAACATTAAAATGCTTAGAAAACCTTCTTGGTCTGGCCTTTTTCTTCTGCTTCTTAGATCTACATGTATGAGTTGGACATCTCTAACCTGAAAATGTAAATCCAGATTTCTCCAAACTCTGAAAAATTTCGAGAGCCAGTATAACATTATAAGTAGAGAAATCCCACACCATGAAATTTTAGTTTATGCACAAAATTATTCAAAATATTGGTTAAATTATATCCAGCCTACTGACTGTAAGATACATATGAAACAAATGCATTTTGTATTTGGGCTTGGGTGCTATCCCCAAGACACCTCATTATGAAGATGAAAATATTCCAGAATTTGAAGAAAATCTGAAACATGTACCATGTCAGGTTGTAAGCATTTCATATATGGTCTATTCAATCTATATTCCATTTGCGAAGTGTCCATCTTTAGACTTTCCTACTGCCTTCTACTCTGTCAGATAAAAGTAACAAAGCCCTATAGACTTCCATGGGTAGGATTAACTCACATGATTCCATAAATTGGAATAAGGATAATATAGAGATTTTGATAAGTCCATGTCATGAGGGTGGGATGTTAATCAAATAATGATCCAAAAGCTTATCTCAGTAATTCAAAACACTCAGTGTGTGGCTCAGTTAATATGGGGCCAGGTAATAAAAGCTTATCTTGACGTAAGGTGCTCAAATATCCTTTACTATTGAATCAGGACAGGTCACATTTAAGGAGTGTAGTTTCACAAATAGCATAGACCTGCATAATTACTATCCTGGGTCATGTTTCCCTAGCATTCTCTCTTATTTCCTCCAGTATTGTCCAGGAAAGATGTGAACAGACAGTCTTCTTTCATTGAGCTTTTCTTTTATCTTCCTATAACTGCTCCCAATCTTGTTTCAGTGGTTATGAGTGAGGGTTTACTTCTATAGTTAGCCAGTGAAGAAGAAAGTTGTGGACTGACCCAGTGTGCTGATGGTGGCCTTTTCATTGGTTAAAACCACAAAGAGTGAACCAAGACACTAAAAAGCTTATCAAGTATTTGTCTCCTGGAAACTGTCCAGTCTCTCCTTGCTTGGCCTAAGATGCTATCCCTGTCAGCTCAAGTTTCCATTCATGAAGTGCTCTGTCAAATTTGGAACACAAAATTAAAACTTAGCTTATGGAGTTCATTTTAGGTAAGGTTTACAAAGGATTCCCTTTCTCCCTGGAAAAATTAATTTGAAATCAGAACTAAGATTTTTGTGCAGAGACAAGATCTCCTGATATTTGGTAGTATTTCTGTGTGCTCAAAGTTGAAGACAGGTGCTCTTACTAAGGGTTTCTTCTATTTTTATCACATTTGCTCTGCTCTTATGTTCAGAATAGCCTCCATGCATTTGTTTTAGTATTGGCAGTGATCTAGTACAATAAGTTAGAAATAACCAGGGATTGTATGTTTATGAAATATGTAGTTTCTGTCTGTTATATCCAGCAACCTGGATATAATGTGTTTGTCAGATACCTTAAACAGTCTTTTGCTCTTATCTATTGTTGATTCTATATGTGTTATGTTTATTGTTCTACATTTTCATCTTGTTTAGAAAGGTATATATAGCTGAGTAATGGTGGTTCATGGTCTGTATTCCTAGCTACTCAAGAGGCTGAGTTCTGAGGATTACCCTTTGAAGTGAGTCTAGGCAGAAAAGCCAAACGTGGAGGTATAGCTCAAGTGGTAGAGTGGCATCCTTGGCCAAAAACTAAGCAGGAACACAAAGCCCTGAGTTCAAGCCTCAATACCAGTAAACACATGCCATGCACACACACACACACACACACACACACACACACACACACACGGAATTTATTAAAATAATTAGCATGACAGTGTGTAATAGTTGTTGCAGCAAATTGGTAAGTGAACATATTATTTTGTTACCCATGCCTACCGAGAAACAAAGTAATGGAAGTTCTTCCAAAGAAGGTTTTGTGTGTGTATGTGTGTGTGTGTGTGTGTGTGTGTGTGTGAGAGAGAGAGAGAGAGAGAGAGAGGGAGAGAAAGAGAGAGAGAGAGCATGTGCACGCGTGTAAGTGTGTGTG